AAATGACAACAGACAGTCTGTAAACATCACGCTTGGGGTCCAATGACCTCTGTAGGATAAATTTACTGTTAATATGGATTTCATGTGTAATAATATAACATTAAAGAGTTTGAGATGACAGATTGCTTTGAGTGGCTTAACATAATTCAGCAGCACAGCAACAATAACATGCAATAAATACAAAACACAAGCAAATACACAATATCAGTGGCTTGGTTTACCTTAGCAGAGATGACTGTGCCACATACACTAGAGCAATAAGAGTTGCTTCTATTTCACTTGTTTGTTACTCTATAACCACATATTACATTCTTGGTGCTGCTCATTGCATTAAAAAGGCATATTTTCAAGATCAGCGCCATCATGACCTTTCATATCAACATGTAACGTAAGAAATATTATGCTTCCTGTTGCATTATTACACCTTTCAGAAGATAAACACTTCATTTAACACCTGTGTTTAAAATACACCGATCATGCATAACATTATGACCACCTCCTTGTTTCTACGCTCATTGTCCATTTTATCAGCTCCACTTACTGTATAGGTGCACTTTGTAGTTCTACAGTTACAGACTGTAGTCCATCTGTTTCTCTGATACTTTGTTAGCCCCCTTTTACCCTGTTCTTCAGTGGTCAGGACCCCCATGGACCCTCACAGAGCAGGTACTATTTGGGTGGTGGATCATTCTCAGCACTGCAGTAACACTGACGTGGTGGTGGTGTGTTAGTGTGTGTTGCGCTGGTCTGAGTGGATCAGACACAGCAGTGCTGTTGGAGTTTTTAAACACCTCAGTGTCACTGCTGGACTGAGAACCAAAAACATCCATCCTATGACCATGGATGTTGGCCTAGAGGATGACCAGCACAAACTGTGCAGCAGCAGATGAGCTATTGTCTCTGACTTTACATCTACAAGGTGGACTGACAAGGTAAGAGTGTCTAACAGAGTGGACAGTGAGTGGATAGTGTTTAAAACAGATGGACTACAGTCTGTAACTGTAGAACTACAAAGTGTACCTATATAGTAAGTGGAGCTGGTAAAATGGACAATGAATGTAGAAACAAGGTCATAATGTTATGCCTGATCGGTGTACGACACAACCCATCAAAAGTGCAGATAAGTTCCTCAGAGGGGTACAGAGCCCTGCTGGTGACATCATATAAATAAAAATAATTCATGGCCACGACCTAGTAAGGCGTGGGAATGAGATAATTAAGTCTTGACCACAGGTTAATAAACCATGATCTCATTCCCACGCCTTACTAAGTCATGGCCACGCCCTACTAAGTTGGTGCCACGCATTATTTTTATTTATATGTGGTGTCACCAGCAGAGCTCCATAGACTGGTTTCTCTCCAAGTGGTTTAAATTTGACTGATTTTCCAAGATTTCTGCATAATCTAATTATCATGCTGTACACAAAGTCATTCAGAGTGGTTTGGTTTGAAATGGTTGACTGTAGAGACTCTGATTTCTTTACAGTGGTGGTGATAGGAACCAGAAGTCATGAAGTCTACCACGCAAATATAGCCATTTTATTTACTATCCAAAACCACCAGTGAACCTACACACGTCTTCTTGAGTTCTATATGTAATGTTGATTATGGTAAAATAGTCACAAATCTGAAATAATTAGCTTTCTTTGGGGACTACTTTGCCTCACAACGCCCCTCCACCATGAATGTAAAAGAAAAAAAATACATTTTAGGCAACAACCTTCTCAAAACTGTTGTAAAGCAAACCGCTTTGAATGACTTTGTTCACATCTTAAACATTTAATTGCGCAGAAATTGTGAAAAATCAGTGGAATTTCCTGTTACGTTTTTCACCTTTTCAACACTGACAATCTTTCACTGTATGAATCTTAATTTCAATCCAGGAAACCCGACATGTCGTGTTCAGTTTGGTGTTAAAAAAAAATGTACATACTATGTTAATACAGCCATTAAAATCAGTTTGTTATTCTTCTTAAAAAAGATTGAAAAAAAGTAAAAAAAAAAAACAAACAAAAAAAACATTAATTTAAAAAACAGTAGTCTGCTACAGATTTTAAGGCACAAAGATCTTAAAAGTCATGCCTGAGAATGTACTGCATAAAAGAGATCAACGGACCTCTGATGTTGTGTGTCATCCTGTAGTTGGCATCATGCCCACATGAGGAGCTTCGGGTCTCAGCTGGTTTTCTCTATGGCAAAAATGCGCTTGGCAGATGCTCGTATCCAGAGCAACTTACAACCCGATCATTTTACACAAGTAGGTGAAGGTAGTGTTAGGAGTCTTATTGGTACACCGATCGGGCACAACATTTGACCACCTCCTCGTTTCTACACTCATTGTCCATTTTATCAGCTCCACTTACTATATAGGTGCACTTTGTAGTTCTACAGTTACAGACTGTAGTCCATCTGTTTCTCTGATACTTTGTTAGCCCCCTTTTACCCTGTTCTTCAGTGCTCAGGACCCCCATGGACCCTCACTGAGCAGGTATTATTTTGGGTCTCAGCACTGCAGTAACACTGAGGTGGTGATGGTGTGTTAGTGTGTGTTGCGCTGGTCTGAGTGGATCAGACACAGCAGTGCTGCTGGAGTTTTTAAACACCTCAGTGTCACTGCTGGACTGAGAATAGTCCACCAACCACAAATATCCAGCCAACAGCGTCCTGTGGGCAGTGTCCTGTGACCACTGATGAAGGACTAGAGGATGACCAACACAAACTGTGCAGCAGCAGATGAGCTATCGTCTCTGCCTTTACATCTACAAGGTGGACTGACAAGGTAGGAGTGTCTAATAGAGTGGACAGCACGTGGACACAGTTTTTACAAACTCCAGCAGCACTGCTGTGTCTGATCCACTCAGACCAGCACAACACAACACAGACTACAGTCTGTAACTGTAGAACTACAAAGTGCACCTATACAGTAAGTAGAGCTGACATTGTAAGACCAGCAAACCAGCTTGTTTTATCAAATGTGGAAGTTAAGTTAGTTTGGCAGTAACAGAGTATAGTTTGAGTAGCTGGTGTTGGTGTATAATAGTGTTGAAGTTTAACCGTATTCTTACTTTCCTGTCATTTCAGTGTGTATATATAATAGAGCTTATATTAATTTGATTACTAACTAATCAACCTCATAATTCAGAGGATTCACTGACACTCCGCAGGGAAATGTACACAATCAGTCTGGAACCCTTTTGTTTAGGATGATATTACTGCGTTAAAAAATTATTTTAATCACCATTTTCTCTATATTTCCTTAAAGAAATCCAGCTTAGACCTCCAAATATGGGCAGGACACTGGCTACAGTATGACGTGTGTTTCCAGAGGCCTATGAGGAGTCCAGTTGTACTCCTTTGGTCATGTCTTTGGTACCTGACTGGGTTGCTTGCTTGGTTCTGGGTTTAGCTCCAAGAATAAAAAAAGAACAGTAGAGTCCAGTTTCAATACATTTTCAACACGATCCCACCAACTTTGGCTTTGTTCACACAGCAGGTAAAAGTGGCTCAAATCTTTCTTCATGTGTGACACAGATGTGAGTCTGAGTGTCAGTGTGAACAGATAAACAGACTGAATCTGACATTTTCAATTCCGATTTGAGACGCTTTCATATGTGGTACTGAAATCTGATACGTATCCAATCTGAGGCAACGGGACTCAGTCTGAACAGCCAGATCGGAATTCATGCGACTTTTACGTCAATCCAGCTCCACATTCGTCATAATAGGCCGTAGGAGAACGAGGCTGCAGCGTCAAAGAACAGTTAAAAGTCTGAAAGCAAAGTTTAAAGAATCCGAGGACGCGAACCAAAGAAGTGACCGCGCCCTTTTTACAGCAAACTCGAACACATTCTGGGTGATGAGTCCAGCTGTCAGCCAGTGAAGCTTCGTGATGGCTCCTGTGATGGTGGCAAAGATGAAGCTGAACCCTCTGGGAGCGACTGGCGCTCGTTGGCGGTCGTGATTGTTTACCTCTGGATGAGCCGCGTGACGCTCTGTTCTTTTGCTCATGAGGGTCAGTTTAGGAGCTGATCTGTTCAGATTGATGTCGCATACAGATCACATTTAAAAGATAATGTGAACAGCCAAACAAAAAAATCAGATTTGGTGAGAAAATCAGATTTGGGCCACTTTTACCTGCTGTGTGAACGTAGCCTTTGACTCACTCAGAAGTGTGTTATGGAGGAGAGGACAGTGAGGAGCAGATTATAAAATTAGCACAGAAGTTTGAGAATAACATACATAAATTTTATGAATAACTGCTTTGTCTGGTTCAGAGCTTTGCTCTACAGTCTTAGAGCACCTCCTTTTTGTTCTTGTTAGCCATGTAGCCGTCATTATAAAAGAGGGGGTAATCTGCAACCTTCTGAACTCAAAACACCTTCCATCGTCCCTGTTAGCGTCAGGGTTTCCCCCCCCCACGGGGAAACAGCAAGGCAAAGGCAACGAGGGCTTGTTAAAAATGCTATTGGAACAGGTGGTTCGACAGCCTGCTTACACTGTTTACAGTGTTCACTCTTAAAAATAAAGGTTATGTTACGCGATGCCATAAAAGAACCAAATTTGGTTCCCTAAAGAGCCCTTCAATCGATGGTTCCTTTTGTAAATGAGTGTGAAGAACCTTTTAAACCTATTTTACGTTAAAAGTTCCTCCATATAATGTAAATGTTCTGCATCAACCAGAAGAGGAAAGTTTGTGAACGAGCTTTAAGTTGGCTAGACGAAGTCTTTGCTACAAAATTCCACGTGGTTGCTGAGGTGTTACTATGTTATTCCGGGTGGTTGCTAAAATGCCAAGAACAATTTAGGAACCTTTAGTTCTAAGAGTGGAGGCTTCAATACCATTTGCATAAAAAGGGACAGAAAATATATCTCAAGTAAACAGTTTAACAGTTTTGTCCAGTAGCATTTCACAGTGTTCTTGAGAGCATATCATGACGAATGGACCAATAGGAATGGTCCGAATTTACTTGGAATAAAATCTCATACTTTAAAAGTTACTGTTTTTTTTTTTCCTGCTCATGTAAAGTTACCGTTTCTGGGATGCGAGGTGTTCCTACAACAGCAACGATGCTTAAAAAACATGTAAAGACTAATCAGTATTGGGCCAGTCTCCCTCTCCCCACGCCTCTCCGTCCTTTCCCGTCCCTCCGATCAGCGGCTCCCTCTCTCCCTCTCCATCTACAGACTCCTCAGAGAGGTCCCGGTATGGAGCGATGGGCTCTAGGGGGCAGCAGAAGCTAAAGGCCACAGCGATGAGGGAGAAGAAAAGGGCCAAGATCTCGATGAAAAAGCTCTCTCCAGGTAAGGCGTAGAGTCCACTGGTATGGCTGGAAGGGCCCAGTGCTTCCTTCTGCACGTTCTGCTGGATTACATATAGACACGCCCCGCTGACCCCCAGGACCACCAAACACAGCAAGGCTGAGGAGAGAGTGAGAAAGGAAGAACAATCATGATGGCAACACAGCCTAACTGCCAGTACTGTGGAGTTACACCAGCTGTCAAAATGGTCCGCAAACATAGTTTTCAGAACTATCACTATTTTTTTATCATCATATCACATATAAATACTCAGAAGACTTGTGTAGGTTCGCTGGTGTTTTTGGGTAGTAAATAAAATGGCTATATTTGCGTTGTAGTCATGGCAACCCCTGGTTCCTATCACCACCACTGTAAAGAAATCTGAGTCTGTAAGCTTCTCTGCAACGAACCATTTCACACCAAACCATCTCAACAACTGAATTATGCAGAAACTTTGAAAAATGGGTGGAATCCCCCTTTAACACTTAGCCATAGTGGAGGGCTATATGATCATGTGCTAACAATATAGTGAGAAATTATGGTAACCATACGCTCACATTAGGAGGCAAAGAGGAACTAAAGATGCCCCAAATTTGCCTCCTGTGGGTGTGTTTAAGGCTGCTCTTTCTGCTGCATGCAAGGCGTAAACGGTTTATATTCTGACAAAAAAAAAAATGTGAAAAATATTTATTCTATGTTTTACTGTTTTTTTCTTAATATATCAATTGTGGATATAAGTTTATATGAGGATAAATGGTACAACTTTGCAATAAAATTGCCCTTAAAATTGATTTAGAATGGTTAATTAATGGTTATTTATTGGGTCATAAACACTTTACAAAACTAATTCATAAGCAGTTATAACACATAAACGAAGTGAGCAATAGTGACCTGTTGCTTGCCAAATAGTGAGCACACATTCATCTATACTGTTAAGGGTCAGATCTTGCTGGTTACTGATCTTATTTAGTGCTTCATTATATACAGGAGCCTGAATTGAGTAATAAGCAGTTATAACAGCAGTGAGACATTATATATACACACACACACACACACACACACATATACATATATATATATATATATATATATATATATATATATATATATATATATATATATATATATATATGTATGTATATATATATATATATATATGTATGTTCATCACATATGACAGCTCACTGCTGCCCTATTTATTTGTGTTATAACTGCTTATTATTCACTTTTAAGGCGTTTTTGACTTAATTAGTAACCGTTAATAAACCAACTTTAAACCATTCATGAACGCTATATTGTAAACTGAATAACACATTTAACGGTAAATCATAAAATGTGCGTAAATGTTATGGCACATTCTATATGTTATGATTTATATTTTTCAATTTGTTTAACTCAGCAAATAAATAGAAATTGAACATTACATTTTGCAGAAAGGGGCTCTTTCTGCTGCTGCCTCTGCCTTCTGTAAGGCTTTCTTCACTCTCCAAAAAAAATCATACACATCATAAACATCTTACCAAACTAATTCATAAGCAGTTATAGCACATAAATGAAGTTCGCAATAATTCATCTATACTGTTAAGGTGCTTCATTACGGTTGTAGTTCATCTGCATTAAATTAACAAACTTCATTTGTCAATTTTGCTTGTCACAGCTACAAACCGCCTCCCTCCAAAGGAAATGACCAGTCGTCTGTCGCTGCGTTGCCTGCTATTGTGAATGCGGGGTCAGGGTTCACCTGTGGAGACATGAAGCGACGACACCAGTCTGGAGTGGCTGAACCCAGCGCCCAGGAAGTCCAAGAAGAAGGAGGAGCTGGAGAGCAGCACAGCGCTGTAGCACATGGCAGCCAGCGTGTAGAGCAGCCTCATCCCGAGTCCATTCACTCCACCCAGAGGACCTACAACAACGGCAAGAACAGCTTCAACAGGAGCGCTACAGTCATATGAGTGACAGTTCTTCTTCATATCAATCGATAACAACTCATATCACTCAGTTTTCATGCCAAATCAGGACACAACAGAAAAACCTTGAAACCTCCCAGGGCTGAGTGATATGGCTGTAGTCCATGACGTGGTGGTGGTGTGTTAGTGTGTGTTGTGCTGGTGCGAGTGGATCAGACACAGCGGTGCTGCTGGAGTTTGTAAACACTGTGTCCACTCACTGTCCACTCTATTAGACACTCCTACCTTGTCAGTCCACCTTGTAGATGTAAGGTCAGAGACGATAGCTCATCTGCTGCCGCACAGTTTGTGTTGGTCATCCTCTAGTCCTTCATCAGTGGTCACAGGACGCTTCCTACAGGACGCTGTTGGCTGGATATTTTAGTTGGTGGACTATTCTCAGTCCAGCAGTGACACTGAGGTGTTTAAAAACTCCAGCAGCACTGCTGTGTCTGATCCACTCAGACCAGCACAACACACACTAGCACACCACCACCACGTCCGTGATAAAATGGACAATGAGCGTAGAAACAAGGAGGTCGTAATGTTATGCCTGATCGGTGTATTATATTATGAAGACCAGCACATGCGTTATAAATGTAATTTGCTAGTTCGCAGGCACGAGTTATCAGGCACAATTTTCCCACTTAAAGCTCATTAAAACAATGTTAAATCATATAATTAAAATTAAAATTGTAACACTGCACTTGTTTAAATTGAGATTTTGATTACAAAAAGACTTTAATCTTTCATCCTTATCTTAATAATAAGTCTGAGTAGTATTTATATACTTGCAGAACGTATAAGAGGCCTCTTTTTGCTACTACCTGTTCATTCTTCAGACCTTTTTACTCTCCATAATTTTGAAACTAAGAACAGCTAACTAGCTAATGCTCCAAACAGCTGTGCTGGTTTCACATCGCCACCTAGTGCATCAAAGTAGTGACTGTTTACAGTGCAAGCCACTAATATCAGATTGTGAAACAGCAAAATCAATCACTTAATCACTTTATCAATAATACTTCAATACTTCTTTGCTTTTTATAATTATTATCACGCCGGTTCAGCTCCTACCGGTGTGTGTGAGGTTCTGTGCAGAGCGCAGTGTGAATGCCACTCCGTAAATGAGCTGCTTGCTGTTCGAGTCTGAGCCGTTCTGTACGTTAATCCAGTTGGGATCGGCGATGGAGGTGCAGAGAGACACCAGAGTGAAGCACTGGCACATGGCGGCGGGGGTCAAACTCAGGGTCATGGTTGGGTCGAAGTGAAGGCCCAGACTGCGGAGGAACAGCACAGAAGATTTGCAGAGAACAAACTTTTCTAAATTTGAGTTTCTTTTATTACTCTCATTATTATTCTGAGATATTTAGTGAGGGAAGGGTGGGGATTAGGGGTGAGGATTAGGGGTGAGGATTAGGGGTGAGGATTAGGGGTCACCCTAATCACCCTAATTTTACTGAAACGTTCAGTCAGTAATGGCGAATGTTTCAAAACTTCTTACTAGCATAACCATGGAAATGACTGTAGCGTAACCATAGAAACAGCTGTAGTGTAAGGTTAGATATGGCTGTAGCACAACCATGAAAACGACTGTAGCATAACAATGGAAACGGCTATAGTGTAATCTTGGAAAGGGCTGTAGTGTAACCATGGAAACAGCTGTAGTGTAACCATGGAAATGTCTGTAGCGTAACAATGGAAACAGGTCTAGCATAACCATGGAAACGGCTGTAGTGTAACCATGGAAATGTCTGTTGCGTAACAATAGAAACAGCTGTAGTATAACCATGGAAACGCCTGTAGCATAATCATGGGAACGCCTGTAGCATAACCATGGAAATGGCTGTAGTGCAACTGTGGAAGCGGCTGTAGTGTAACCATGGAAACGGCTGTCACGCAACCATGGAAATGGCTATAGTGTAACCATGGAAACAGCTGTAGCGTAACCATGAAGTCTGTAGCCTAACAATGGAAACAGCTGTAGTGTAACCATGAAAACAGCTGTAGCATAACCATGTAAATGGCTGCAGCGTGACCATGGAAACAGCTGGAGTGTAACCATGGAAATGGCTGTAAAGTAACCATTGAAACAGCTGTAGCGTAACCATGGAAACAGCCGTAGCCGACTGATCCATACAGCAGTGGTGTAGTTGTACTTCAGATGGAGTTTTTTAATTAATCAGCCGATGTTATGATTACATCATCTAGACAGCTGTGGACAGGGGCTCCACTACAGTGGCTGAAAACAGTTCATTCTTTTGAAACATAAAGGGGAATTCCACCAACGGCTTCTGAAATTCTGCAAAAATTAATAGTTAAGATGTAAACAAAGTCATCTAGAGTGGTTTGGTGTGAAATGCTCCGTTCTAAAGAAACCTACCAAGTGAGAATTGCTCACAGTGGTGGCGATAGGAACCAGACGTCTGAAGAGTTTATTATAGAAAGTTATTACACGAAACAAATTATGCTGGTGGTTTCAGAGAGTAAACACAATTTGCTCTGTAGACACTGGGACTCTTGGTCACTACAACCACCACTGTAGTTTTATAAAGAATGCATCATCAAGTCAAACCACTCTGAATAACTTTGTTTACACCTCAACGACTGATGTATGCAGAAATTTTGAAATATTGGTGGAATTACCCTTTCGTCTGTTGTTAATTAAGTTAGTATTAGTAGTATCAACACATACTTCACATTTAGGGACAAATGGCCAAATTTCACACTGTTCAGCATCTAACCTGAAGTACTTTTTTAAGAAAGTGTGGATAGTAAGCGCCCTGCTAGTAGTGCACTATATAGGGAGCAGGGAGTGGATTTGGGACGCGGCTTATGCCGCTTGTGTTTACTGGAAGTCAACGATAAAGGCGTGCTGTCTGAGGTCGCCCTTAAAACGGTGTTAGTCAGTTTAAATAGTGTAAATTAGTCGTGTTAGCAAGGAAACCTCCAAAACACAGCAACCGTAAACAAGTTGGCTTCCTATTCGCCAGCTTCTTGTTCGAATTTCCCCGTTCCACCTTAAATACTGCTGAGTAACGTTAAGGCGCATCAGGCGCCAGAATGAAACTGCCGGACCATTTAAGGTGGAACGGGGAAATTCGAATAGGAAGCCAACGTCAAAGCTAACAACCGTAACTTTGACCCCATTTTCGAGCAAAATACTCTCACCTGGACTGTTTTTTGGGTCAAAATCTGTCTCTTTTCGCCCACATCGTCGGTCAAAACGACCGTTACTTCACTGAAAGCCGCAGTAATGAATGATCCACATGTCCAGTGACGTTTCGTACGGTCAGCTGACGGCTCGACGAGACGAACAGAGCTTTTATTTCTGTTATTTCGGTCTTCTTTTTGGAGTCGAACGGCTGAGACATCCCGCAAAAGGCAGACAAGTGTGGCAGAAATGTCGTTCGCTCAAGAAAAGCTGTAAAAAAAACGATTAAACGTGATGACAACGCCGAAAAAAGCGGCTGCGATCAGTTCTTATTACACGGTTGTGCAGGATCACTACGCAGCGGTTGGAAGTGCAGCGCCCCCCTGCGGCCGGGCCCCGATACACCAAACACAAGCTTACGAACGGTCCTTAAAGGGGAATTCCACCCATTTTTCAAAATTTCTGCACAACAGAAGCACAGCCAAGGGGTGATAAGGGGTGGCCGGTGCCACTATAGAATGAAGCCTGGCCACCCTTCTGGCCACCACAGTTAGAGAAATTTGAGACAGTCAGCCAACCATCATCAATAAAGCATCAATTATGCTTTACGGTGAAATCTGCCATCAGGGTGAGTATGATGATGCTGCATTTAATAATCAACACATCTTGCTAATTTCCAGAGCAAACAGGTGGATAAACATGCACTGGGTCCCTTCAGTCGTGCCACCCACAATTCACCACAGCTATCTATTTGAAATGTTTTTCTCTTAAAGTTGCTGAAAAGTGATTTAATTTAACTGTTCAAACACAGGATATCCTCTAGAATGACTAGAATACATACTATCAGCTGCACTGATGTAATATTTTATTCATGTGGAAATGATGGACAGATGTATTATGTACAGAGAAAAAAAACAACACATCACTTTTTATGTCATTTTAATATAGAAACACTTTTTTTGTGCCACCCTATTAAAATCTCTGGGGCTTCCTGCACCTCCCCATTCAGCTATAGATACGAGCCTGCTGCATAATCCAGTTGGGATGTAAACAAAGTCATTCAGAAAAGTTTGATGTGAAATGGTTGATTCTAGTCAGGGGTCACCATGTCTGCAACACAAATATAGCCATTTTATTTAGTATTCCAAACCTACATGTCTCTTTTCCAGCTTTTGTATGTTAGAAATGGTCATAAATATACAAAAAAGTATTCTTTGTGTACTACTTTGCCTCTGCATGTGCATCTCTGACATGAAAAATTATTTTAAGGCCAAAATCTTTTTGTTCATCATGTAGTATTGCATGGTGCAGCAACTGAAACAGGTTTGGTGTTGATTCTCACTGCTCTATAGGAAAAGACCAGCGGAAAGCATGCACAGTATGTGCTAAGCAGCTCTTTCCTCAGCGTATTTAGTCGTTTTTAAAGAAGCTGCGTTTGAGAAATATGGGCAAAGAAAAAGCAGAAACAGAAAAAGAAGAAGTCCAGTAAGATTACAAGCGTGTGGTCAGCTTTAGGGCTTGGACTTCACACTTCTCAATGCCGTACTGACAAAAACAACTGATCACAGCACTCAAACAGATCAGGCTCCCTTTATTATTCACACTGTTTTAGAAAAAATACTCATGGCATGTTTGGTAAAAACGTTCCATGATTTCTCTGAGCATAAGTTAGAATCTCCACTGGTGGTGGACATGAATCAGGATGTGCTCTGAATCGTAGGCGTCAGGTTGATGAGGGTGTTGCTGGCCTGGACCAGTTCTGAAATGGACACTCTTCCCCTCTGTTTGATGAACTGAGCCACAGCGTTCATCTCTTCAGGAGTGATGAAGATGAACTTCCCCCTGTCGTCGATCACTCCTGAAAAGTGTGATGGAATAGCAGAGAGAACAATCAGGGTGGGAGAGACCATCAGAGAAAGAAACACTAGAAGTTCAGAATAATAAATAATAAATAATAATAAACCCTAAAAACGAATAGCATTAGAGTTAAAGAGAAAGTTCGGCCAAAAATCAAACGTACACAGTTTTTCCCTTTACCCAAATGTAGCCAATCTGCCAAGTATGTTTGGCGTCTGAAGTTTGCTTCTTTAGTATTGTACTGGAGTTACGAGGCTAATGTGGCTAACAAGTAATGCAAGTTTATAGTCACCGGTTTAGCATTGTGCAAATCGCACGCCTAAATGATCAGAAATTCACCTCAAACTGTTGTTTAGTAAACTTTAATTGACTTGCTTTTGTGGTTTCTGACATGGTATGACATTCTGAATGATCTGGGGAACATATTGGAATCTTTCTGATCATTACTGTAATTGTGATTAATTAAGCAACAGAACACGAGAGGGAGTGCGTTATCGCGAAATAACATCACGGCTGTGATTTGGTCGCCGTAGATCATCACAGCCGTGATGTTATTAGCGATAACACACAACCTTGAGTGTTCTATTGCTTTTATACAACAGTTAAATAAATAAAGTAATAAATTAATAAACTGCGCCGTGAACGCGGCGTTTAATATGTTTTAATGTTCGCAGTTCCTTCACCAAATTATAGTTCCTTAACAAGCAGCTTGTTGCTACGTCAGAGTAACGAGCTCCGCCCACTCGCTGCACAGCCGGCAGTTCGTTCTCCAGCTCCTTACGCTAAATTCCCAAACTGTCATCACCACTGAGCAGCTTTTTTGTTTTTTGTTGCAGCAGTTTTATGGCTCAGTCTGATTTGGTCAGACTCTGAAGATCAGACTACACGTTTGGCGAATGGTGTTGGGTTAATTTGTGGCTGATTCCAGGTTGTTTAGCTGTTCTTCTGTCACAGCTGCCGACTGAAAAGCTGCTCAGTGGTGATGACAGTTTGGGAATTTAGTGTCGTCTCATCTTCAGAGTCTGACCAAATCGGCTGTCGGTCAAAAGTGATCTTAAAAGTGTCCATTTTCTGTTTGTGGCAAAGTAAGAAGAACAAACTCGTCAAACTCGTTGCTTAGCAACGGCATCTCAGTGCAGTGATACAGTGTTTGTGAAAAGCTGTGATGTTATGGCGAAATAACAACACAGTTAGAACGCCTCTCAACCAATCAGCTTGCATGGCTGAAACTAACTGCTGTATAAATTGTGATTATTGTCTATAATTGGGCATATTGTAAGTGATTTCTGGCCTTATGTTACCCTTTTACTTTAAAAGGCCCATGTAACACTTTTTCATCTTGTATTTTATCTTTTCCTCTGTCGACACATATGTTGGACGAGAGGGCCTGCCTCACAATCTCCGTTCTAGTTCATCCCAAAGGTGTTGGATGGGGTTGAGGGTCAGGACTCTGTGAGGGCCAGTCAAGTTCTTCCACACCAGAATCACCCAGCCAGGCCTTTATGGAGCTGCTTTGTGCACTGGGGCTCAGTCATGCTGGAACAGAAAAGGTTCTTCCCCAAACTGTTCCCACAAAGTTGGAAGCATAGAACTGTCCAAAATGTCTTGGTGCTGAAGCATTAAGATTTCCCTTCACTGGAACTAAGGGTTCTAGACCAACCCCTGAAAAACAACCCCATATCATCATCCCTCCTCCACCAAACTCTACAGCTGGCACAGTGCAGTCAGGCAGGTAACGTTCTCCAAACCCAGACTCGTCCATCAGACTGACCGATAGAGAAGCTGATTCGTCACTCCACAGAATATGTTTACACTGCTCCAGAGTCCAGTGGCGGCGCTTTACCCCACTCACAGTTGATCGTGGAATATTGAGGAAGGAAAGAAATTTTGCAAACTGGCTTGTTGCAACAGTGGCATCCTATTACAGCACCTCACTCGAATTCAGTGAGCTCTTTAGAACGACCCACTCTTTCACAAATGTGTGTAAAAGCCAGACTGCATGGCTAGGTGCTTGATTTTATAAACATGTGGCAATGAGACTGAATGAAACACCTGAACTCAATGATTAAGAGGTGTGTCCCAATACTTTTGTCCACATTACGTATAATGTAAATGACTTGGTTCTTGAGGCATCACTGTAAGCTGTTTTTGCAGCTTAGTTTCCATATATGGAAATATATGGACTGGACACTGAACGGCCCATTTTGAAACTTTAACAACGTTTACATACTACTTCAAACTTTTATTTCCAAAAAGTGAGGGAAATTCGATTTTCCATGATATGAGCCCTTTAAGTTTCGCCCCAATTTAAATTTACCCCTTCAGAGCATTATTTTTAAGATAAGGAAGATAAGGAGGTCAGCATATCACATTTTCAGTCTTTGAGAATGCTGAATGTAGTGCGCTGGACTTCCACTTAGATGTGGTTGTTGCACATTTTGTGGGTTACTTCTGATTGGCCTAACTCATCTACGGGCAGTTCTGCGTTATTAGGTTAAATGTTCCTCCTTTAACTTTATTTTAATAATACAAATATAATATCTTTAATATTATAATGTAGATATAAAAACAATCCTTCAGCCCTACTGTTTTCCTGAAAAGAGGACAATATTTTAGGCTTCAATATGGCAGCTACTTCTGTTTTTCTACTTTTTTCCATGTTTATAGATGAAAGTATTTCACACAGTGAAACCACATATCGCTGCTGTGGGAGGAAAACCTCGTATCTCCATTTTTGTTCGTTTTTCAGTTTTTGATAAAATCTGAAAATACCTGTTGTCCTTTACATTGTGTGTAAATTTCATGATGAATGGACCAAAATAAACGGCCCAAAATGACCTGGAAAAAACTCTGGTTCCATTGACTTACATTAAAAGTAAAGCAGGTTTTTTCCTTCTGCTGTAAAGTCACCGTTTTGGAAATACGAGGTTTTCGTCCGAGTTTAAATTAGATTTTCAGCTGAACCATCACATTAAATAACACTGTTATAGATGTACACATTTTCAGTCTCACTAAATATGTCAGCATGCACCATGATTGTTCACTCTGCAGTGTAACTCACCTGTAAGTGAACCATCTGCTATCAGGTCCTGCAGTCTGGCAATAGCATCCTAAAAAGATTCAGAAGAGCAATTATACTGGACTGAAATTGGACTTTCGAGCTGCGTTTGGGGCAGTAATTTCTAATATTTCTAAACACAGCCTTTTTATACTAGTGAGGTGAGAAGAAACCATATTTCTTACCTGTGTGCGCATTCCAAAATGGGACGCCAAGTCTTCTAACAACACCACCTTCGAGTCCTGTGAAAACAGCAGACTTCCAATTAAACAACATGGGTACAGCTAGAACTTAATACATAGTGTAAATCAAACAAAGAGGGGCTTTGGGGCGACTGGGCCATGTGAAGACACTTACACACCTTAATGTACTGGATAAACTCCTGGAGCAAGCTGCGGGACTGAAAGACATAAAAGATAAGAAGGAGAAATCGTCAAAATGAATCTGAAGAACACGGTCTGACTGATTTTGTAAGTGCCACAAATATTGCATTTACAGTAATTACAGGAAAAATCCCATTCGCTACTCACTCTGCCCAGACTATTCAGTGTAAAATCAATGATAAGCTGAATTTCAAGCAAAAGAACAATTAATATACTCATTTTCCCCTTGTTCCTACTGTAGTTATGTGGTTTCTGACACTGTATGACATACTCTTTTCTATAAAGATGGACAAATGTATGGATAATATTCAGGCGTCAAGGTGGGTGCTACTGTTTTTAGCTGTGCAACACACTCGTGCCCATGTGTATAGATAATAGTGTGCCATACAAGGTCAGGAACCACATAAGCAAGTCTTTTAGAGATCATTAAACTACTTAAGGTTAGGGCAAGTATGTGATGATTTAAGCATGGGGAACAAGCTTAAATATGCATTTTTCTTCACGTTTTATAGTATAATTTCTATTTATATGCTGAATATGGGGCAAAAAACATAAAATGTAAAATAAGCCATAATGTTTGCACAGGCCACCTTTTACCTTTTATTTTTTCTCCCCAATATGTTAAAATCAGCAAATAAACAGGAATTGTGTGTTAAAATGCACAGTAATATGTTCTCTGTAGAACATTTTCACTTAAAAAAAATCAACAAAACATGTCATCTGACCAGGTGCACCCAAACTTTTGCCCAGGACGGTACAGAAGCAAGCTTTGGACACTAATGTCCCTTTGCTGGGGGGGGAGACGGTTTTAATTCATTTTTTCAACAAACTATGGCTTAAAAGCTGAATTAGATATTAAAGGCTGCACCTCCTGTTCAGTGAGCTCATCAGCCTCTCCTTGCTCCTCGATGATGAAGGACTCTTTGAGTCGCTGGTACTCCTCTTCCTCCCTCTTCTCCTGCTCCTCTTTAGCACGCCGCAGCTCCTCCTCCTGAAACAGAAGAAATATATAAGTATAGTCTACTGTAACAGCTAAATCCAATTGATTACTGTTAGTATTCTATATTATTACTATTATTTAGTGAAATTACTTAAACTAGAAGCCTCTGGAGACTTTGCAGGATGTTAGGGTGCCTTAGGGGTGGGCAATAAGATGATATTTTATCATTGTTTTGATAAATTCTGTCACAGAATGCTTTTATGAGTATATTGTGGGTATTTTCAGTACTTCTACAGGGAGATTCACTCGAAAGAGGCCCCGAATATTCTGTAATAACTCTCTCTAGGACGTAGCAATCTGAATGAAACAATGTGCTCCTCAGTAAATGGAGCTTCGAAGAGGCCAGGATGCCCCTGCGTCGGAGCGATAAGGTAGATGCCGGACAGCCGTCGCGACATTTATGTAGTATATTTTTTTGGTTCAGATTGCTTCATCCTAATGGGAGTTACAGCAGAATATTCAGGGCCTCTTTCGAGTGAATCTCTCTGTAGAACAGAATTTTTGCGAGGATTAAATAAAAAAACTCCATGGCCGTTTTTTCTATTCTCAAATTTGTTTGCAAGCGAAATATTCTAAAGCAACATCTTCGAGTGTCGTGATGTTACGTTTCCTCCGTATCCCTCAGTCTAAGGTTGCCATATTTTAAAATGTGGCCAGTCAGACTTGTTTATGGGCATGAAATGACACACTGATCATTTCATGCATGTAAAACCCTCAGCAATTCACATTTAGTACCAGATGAACAAAACCAGAAACTATGAACAGACGTGGTGTATATGTAGTGACACCTGCTGGCCACTGTGAATAACTGCGCTTTGCAGTGACCTGTTTCTGTTCCTGCAGTCTCTCCTTCTCCTCCTCCTTCCTCCTCTCCTGCTCCTTCAGCTCCTGCATGCGCCTCCTCTCCTCTCGCTCCTCCCGCTCAGCCTGTTTCAGTGAACACAAGACCACCCTTATGTTAACAGACATTCAGTACATCTGAGATGTGTTGGGCTAGATTGAGATTTGTTGCAGGAAAAAAAAAAAAAAACACACTCTTGACAGCCAATCAGAATGCAGTGAACATGTGGACGGAGCATCTGAGAGCATCTAAGGCCCAATCCCCTTTCTTCTTTTTACCCCTATCCCTTGTTTTTGAGTGTCACCCTAACCCCTTGGAACTGAGTTACAAGGGGTAGTGTTTGAAATCTTCCCTCTGAAATGGGACCCTCAAATAAAAAGAGCATCACTTCATTAACAGCTACTAGCGCTGCTCTGTAGGCGACCCTGCCAGTCTGCAGTGACAGCAGAGGAGGGTAAAGTTCAGCTCCTCACTGCTGGGCTTTAGATACATTTAGGGCATCATATGACTTCAAAGAGGGGGGCATCAGAACTGCTGGACTATTTAAGGTGGAACGGGAAAGTTAGCTAGCTAGCTACCGAGGCATTAGCATACAGTTAGTGATTTTTTTATGCTTGTTATGAAGAAAACAGCCATAATACACTGAAACGACATTAAACTAAGATAATACAGTGGTTATAGTAAATTTTTAACAGAGAAAAGTCTCACATTTGTGGATTTCTTTGGTCTCTTGTTCAGCCATCTTGCTGTCTGTTGTTCTTTTTTTCCTCATAACACTGAAAAACCTCCGTTTGGAGGGTCATGTAGCCCTAACACTTCGCCCTACCCCTCTATCTCAACACAAATTGGGACACCCTCCCCCTAGACGTGAACGCGCAAAACAGAGGGCTAAGGGCTCAGTGGTAGGGGAGGGGGTGAAATGGGATTGGGCCTAAATGTGACAATTGGTTATTTGGTATTTATCATGGTTTTTATAGTTAACAAGAACTATTTGTAAAGTTAAAACCAGCAGTGAAAAAAATATAATAACAAAACATTAAAATCTTAATATAAATAAACTTGTTTTCAAAAACGCAAAAACAATCAAAACTGTAATGTTGAAGGCACAACTAACTAAAACTTAACAGAATTACTGAGAACAAAACCTTTAGTTCTAGTTTTTTAGTGCATGGAAGAGAGTTTAGAAGTGGACCTTTTTTGTGTTGGGCTGTTTTTAAGGAAAGCTGAAGCCGAGCTGAGTTCAGTCAAATACCTACTATCACAACATTCATCAAAACCCAAACTGAAAAACTGAAACTAAATAAAAACTGAACTAAAACTATTAATGCAGTCTTAAGACTGGAATCAAAAGCCAAACAATAAAATTAAAAACTAAAAAATAAAAACTAGTTAAATTCATTAAAAACAGTCTAATGTTGCTTCAGTAACTCTGTGACCGTTTGTTTATTTGTTTATACAGTGCTTCTCTGTTTCTGTGAGTCCAGTCTCTCACCTCCCTCTGTGCTCTCTTGGCCTGTTTCTCTTCCAGCTTCCTCATCTTCTTAGCGCCCACTTTCCCTGCAGCCTGGGGGCGCTCCTCAGCCTGCAGCTGCTCATCTTCCTCATCCTCATCTACCTCCGGAGCAATGTTCTCTGAGGAAGAGGCAACAAAACACAAACATGCAGTGTTAATTTGATCAAAAATCTCAGTCGACTGAGTGTTTTCATAAATGATAATGATAGAAATAATTGGAAAATATTACAACCTTTTTAGTTTCATATATTTTATTTATAAATAAACATTATATTTGACATTTTTGACTAAGCCACTTTGTGAAATGCTTCATTCTAGAGAAAATTACTATGTCAGAATTGCTCACAGTGGTGGTGACAGGAACCAGACGTCTGAAGAGTTTAATGCCTTCATGCTAGAAAGTTAGTAAATGAAATGGATATGAGATGCTTGCTGATGTCTGAGACAATGTTTTATGATATTTTTGACACAAAGTTTTGCTCTAAAATGTATTTTTTGTGTCCATTCAAGGCAAATTAGTCCCTGAAGAAAACAGGTTTACCACTATTTTACTATTATATAGTATATATTACATACATTACATATGTTATATTGTATATATAGCAGAGGTCACTAATAGGCGGTCCGCGGTCCGAGTCCGGACACAGGCGCTGTCCTATGTGGACCTGGACCTATAACTGATAAACGATGGACAATTATTTAATTTTGATGGGGTGGTCCTGTTTAAATCCACATGTCATTTCTAGTCATTACGGTAGCTTTAGCGGCTCGGGAGACTCACAGACCAATCACATGCGTTGTAAATATCACACGTGACGCTACTCAGCCAATCAGATCTGTGCATTACGATGAGCACTGAGACTCGAGTGAGTGACGCACACACAGGGGAGGGACGAGGCGAGAAACAGCAGTCGGACAAGAAAGTGAGTCAGATTATTGTACATGACGTTCTCTAAAAACAGAAAACTGATGATAAATGTTGTTGAAATATGACTGAATTATAATTTATTTGATTTGATATTCAGTTGTTGACTGTATAAGATGTTGATATACCTACTAGGCTACTTCAGTAAACAGTATATGGCACTGAATCATGATGCAAGTTAGACATTATGATGTTCTGGACCTTCGCTTGAGGAAATTTTCTCTAACTGGACCTTATTGAATTTTAATTAAAGACCCCTGATATATAGTATATATTACATATAAAAACTCTACAAAGAAGACACATGTAGGTGGTTTTACATAGTTAAAATGATAGTATATCATATAGATAGTATAAAATGTTTATATTTTTGTGACCCCTGGTTCCTATCGCCACAACTGTGAAGAAATCCGAGTTGGTAAGTTTCTCTACAGTGAACAATTCTTTGTTTCTTGTTTCTTTGTTTACAGCTTGATGACTGAATTATCCTGAATTTCTTAAAAAAATCAGTGAAATTTCTCTTTAAATGAACACTCCACCCTAATTAACTGTCATATCTGTAACATAGGGTCGAATATTACTGTCAATCCAGGGCTCTGTAAACGAAAACAACCTGATAAACACATTTCTAACTCAAAACACTCATAATAGAAGCCAATGAGGACATTACTGCGCATGCTAATTGACTACATGCACAGATGTGGCAGATGTGTCACCGTTCTCTGGGGCGTCCCGCTGTGCGCGTCTCTGTGCCATCATCCTGTCGAGACCTCTGCGGCGGCGGGGCATGCCGGCCCCTCGCTCCTCCGCCACTCGCGGGGCCGCTGCAACTCGCGCAACCACATTCTGACGATCTTCATGGTCAGCTGTTGAGGGATTGATGAAGAATGTGCTGTAGATAGTTCTATACAGAACCTTTACGAAAAGGGTTCTTCTATTGTTACAATGCCAAGCTTGCAACAATAGAAAAACCTTTAGGGTGCCATATAGAACCTTTTTTCAAAAAGGTTCTGTATAGCACCATCTAGAACACATTCATGCACATTTTCACAGTTTTTCAAAGAATGTTTCATGATGTAAAGAACCGCTTAGTCATGCAAAGGGTTCTATATAGAACCATTTTCTTTACTCAAGAACCTGTGAAGGACCACCTTTGGTTTGGTGGACTACTCTCAGTCCAGCAGTGACACTGAGGTGTTTAAAAACTCCAGCAGCACTGCTGTGTCTGATCCACTCAGACCAGCACAACACACACTAACACAAGTGGAGCTGATAAAATGGACAATGAGCATAGAAACAAGGAGGTGGTCATAATGTTATGCCTGATGTGTGTATATATATATATATATATATATATATATATATATATATATATATATAAAAGACATAATTATTCAGGCATTCATAATTTATATAACAGTTTCAGAGTCCATTAAGAACAGGTCAAATGTGGAAAATCTGTCTGAGACTACAACTAGTCTCCAGCAGCACTGCTGTGTCTGATCCACTCGCACCAGCACAACACACACTAACACACCACCACCACGTCAGTGTTACTGCAGTGCTGAGAATGACCCACCACCCAAATAGTACTGCTCTGTGGTGGTCCTGACCACTGAAGAACAGGGTAAAGTATGCAGACAAACAGATGGACTACAGTCTGTAACTGTAGAACTACAGACTGCTCCTATACGGTCAGTGGAGCTGATAAAATGGACAGTAAGTGTAAACAAACGAGGTGGTTTTAATGAAGTGTCTGTTCGGTGTATATTTCTCATGCATTTTGGCCAGTTTTTTATCATTTTATAGAAGCAATCTGGCAACCCTGGTTGTACTGTGTTAGTGAGAGCAGTTCAGGCGGTCAGGCCGAGTTACTGACAGCTGCCCAGCTGACTTTCCCAAGCTTATCTCTTCGTACTTACCGACTGACCGCAAATACGTTTAGCTGAATAAGACTAAAGACTTCTCTCTGAAGGGTCTTAAGCATTAATGTCCTCGCAGTAAAGTCGCTCTTACCTTCCTCCGCGCGCCCCCGGACCTTCACAGCGAAGACTATCAGAACTATGAGAATCGCTGCAGCTATGAGATAAAGAGCGATGTCCATTATTAATTACGGTATTTATGACTTCAACACGGCACGTTACATGAAGCGGACATCAACACACGAGTGTAAACACGGGCCTAAAGATGACGCCGCTCTCCAATATCCTCCGCCTCCGTTATGAAGCGGTGCGCCACCTACCGGCTCGGAGCCGCTGCTACGTAAGCTGCTCGGAGACCTTAATATGAACACCGATCAGACTTTGTAGTTCTACAGTTACAGACTGTAGTCCATCTGTTTCTCTGCATACTTTCTTAGCCCCCTTTTACCCTGTTCTTCGGTGGTCAGGACCCCCATGGACCCTCACAGAGCAGGTACTATTTGGGTGGTGGATCATTCTCAGCACTGCAGTAACACTGACGTGGTGGTGGTGTGTTAGTGTGTGTTGCGCTGGTCTGAGTGGATCAGACACAGCAGTGCTGCTGGAGTTTGTAAACACTGTGTCCACTCACTGTCCACTCTATTAGACACTCCTACCTTGTCAGTCCACCTTGTAGATGTAAAGTCAGAGACGATAGCTCATCTGCTGCTGCACAGTTTGTGTTGGTCATCCTCTAGTCCTTCATCAGTGGTCACAGGACGCTGTTGGCTGGATATTTTTGGTTGGTGGACTATTCTCAGTCCGGCAGTGACACTGAGGTGTTTAAAAACTCCAGCAGCACTGCTGTGTCTGATCCACTCAGACCAGCGCAACACACACTAACACACCACCACCACGTCAGTGTTACTGCAGTGCTGAGAATGATCCACCACCCAAATAGTACCTGCTCTGTGAGGGTCCATGGGGGTCCTGACCACTGAAGAACAGGGTAAAGGGGGCTAACAAAGTATCAGAGAAACAGATGGACTACAGTCTGTAACTGTAGAACTACAAAGTGCACCTATATAGTAAGTGGAGCTGATAAAATGGACAATGAGAGTAGAAACAAGGAGGTGGTCATAATGTTATGCCTGATTGGTGTATCTGTATATATATATACGACGACCTCAAGATCTGATTTAGAATATAGACAGTACTACAGTCCTGTAGATAATCTGGCAAACTAGACTTAAACCTTTGCCTACCCTGCTAATGTACAAGACACTCTACAGCTGGTGGAGGTGAAAAAGTATAACTTATAATAAAAAGTGAACTTATAATAAAGTATATATCACATTGTTATGACAGTAGGGGTCAGTTTTGATGGAAGGGCCAGAAGAGGACGTCTGAACATAGGGCTAAGGAAACATGGATCCACCACTGCTCATCTTCCTTTTTTATGAAAGCAGGAATTTAAATATTAACTATAATCAGTCCAAAGGCAATTCTAATAAGTGTCACATATTGTAGCTTCCTCTTATAACCTACATAATAAATGTTCTACTGCTGTTATGGTTCTGCAATGTAATGTGAAAAGAAATAAAGCAAAGACGCCCCAAAGATTATATCAAACGTACTTTAATGTTGGCAGCCCCTTCTGCCAAAAACAGTAGTAACCCTTGTTTTACAGACAGAGCTATAAAACTGTTTCAGGTTCAGCTCAGCTTTCTCAGTATGTACCAGATAAACCTGCTGTCTGTTCCAGTCAGCTTGTAAAGCATTTCCCAGCTAAAATGGAACAATGACGGGTTCAGAATTTTCCTGCTGTCACTCTCAGCCACTCTCAGGCTGCAGGTCAAATATTATCTTATACAAGCTGTACGTGCTAAAGTAAAAAAAATAATAATAACAGTTCACTGTAGTGTAAAGCGAGCTGTTACTGTCGTAGTTATTGTGGAAAAAAATACATGCTGTCATCAGAAATAACACGTAGAATATTTCTGAACCAATGAGACTGTGCTGTCAGAACTTTTGTTGTATGATACAAACTAATATTGAAAAATAGTTACATACTGTGATATAATAGGTGAGCTAATGCAATACTCAAAAATAATAAACAGGTTAAAGACTTTGCAGTTTACATTACATTAGAGAAGGCATGACAAAATATTCACAGGTATAATATAGTTCTATACGCCATCAGTCACGAGGAAAACATCAGTGAGTGCGTTTACACGCACTCAATCTGATCATAATCGAATTTCTGCAGTTATCCAATTATTCAAATGGTCAGGTAAACACCATACTCCGATCTAGAAATTCAATTAAGGAATCCGATAAAGAGGCTGGATTTTAGCTCAGTAATCTGATTTCTCAGTGCTGTAAACTCTTACTCTGATTTCTTTCGGATTTCTCAGTCTGCGCACGCGCGAAAACAGACGGCAGTACCCGCAGCGTTTCTGTGAGACACTTGGAGCGACGCTGAAACCAAATACGAAATAAAGGATTTAAATATTCTTCATCTTCTAGATGATGTATGTTCGTATTTTCAGGTTAAGTGGTGCGTTGTTTGAAAAAAAGAAAGCCGAGGCACAAAGTTTGAGTTTTATGTTCCGTTTACTTCACGTCTTCTTCTGTGAGTTTATTGGCTGGTAGCAAAGCAGAAATCTAATTACTGCCTGACTCATGTAGACCTGGAGTTTCCCATGATCTGATTACTCGAATGCATGTAAACATGTGGATCAGATTACTGACAAAATCTGATTTTCTGCAGTTTTCGGATTATTAAGTGCATTCAAACACACTCAGTGATCAAGTTCATCACTTCCCAACATCAGTTTTAGCTTGTGCTGGAGCAGCCAGGCTTGCGACTCACGGCAATGCTCCTATTTGTCGCAGCCATGTATGGTGTGAATGTCTATGGTGTGAATTCTTTCAGTGCCCAGGATTTGGTGGCGATCTCCTGTTGCAGTCTGGAATATTCTTCAGCCAGGATTTCAAACTCTCTGCCGTAGATCTCAAAAGATGCCAGTTTAGACTCCAGCGACTGTTTCTCCATCTGGGCCGCCTTCAGTTCGGTGTTGAGCTTCTCCCTGAGATGAGCAACAAACAAAAGATCGGAGGAGTAAGTAAAGATTTCATCTCAAGGGACCCATTTCATGGAAAAACAGATGCATCTAACTTATTTTAATAAAAGAGTTTGATGTGACTTTTTTCTGTGATGTCACAAAAACTAACACAGTTTAGCTCTGACCATATAAGCTATAAGGAGTGTTTCAATCTGTTTTTTTTTTTTTTTAGAAGGGTAGCCAATCAGAAGAGAGGTCAGTTACATCTGTCTTAAAGCCATGGTGACAACAGCTAAGGGATAAAGAGAGGCTGGAAAATAATCATGTAAAAATGATTTCTGACTCTTTTTGATACATTTATCCACAAAAATACCATAAGAGAAAAAAGTAGGATGAGGACTCTGTCTTTCAATATCAGCATTTTGGAGAGGTGAAAGACACTTCATTAAGCTTGCCTGCTGCACGAAGTAGTGTATAAGTGTATTATAAAACAAAGGGACACAGAAATGTAAAGAAATATAGTGTGATTCAAAAAGATTCATCAGATTCCAGAATGATTTATTTCATATGGTTTAAGTGAACGCAAAGTTCAGTATGTAATTTAATCAAGTGTTCAATATGAACCTCCTCCAGCTGTACGGACAACATCAGCGCCATAGTCAAATTCATCCCATACTCGATTGAGCATGTCGGGTGTCGCTGCACTCACGGCTCTTTCAGTGCGATTTCGGAGATCATCCAGTGTTGTGGAACCAACGCCGAACGCTCTGAGCTGTTTGAGGTTCACTGCCCATGAAAATCACGCTGCACAGTTATGACGGATTCACTCTTATTGAAGTGGAGAACGCAGAACGCTTTCTGCTCAGGGGTCTCATCTCCTCTCAGACTGAAGGGAGCCATCTTCTGGTGACAGTCAGAAACTCTATGACCCCCTCGTTCAATTGGATTGTGATTGGTTCCTAGGCGCCTCACGGTTGTAAAAATATGCCGCTTTGAAATCGATTGAAACTTTTTGAATCACCCTGTATTTGTAAAAACGTACTGCAATCTTGACTTCAGCCTTCATTGAAGTGAACACTAAAGCAAGAGCAATACCTTCTCTCATTCTGGATTAGAGACCAGCTGTCTAATGGTCACTCACGTTATCTTCCGATGAGCTGCGATCTTGTCTCTCGTGTAGGTGTCAAGCTGGACCTCAAGCATCTCTGCCCTGTGAAAATCAAATTATTAGTACTGCAATAAATCTAACAGGACAGTTTTACTAGGCAAGGTCTAATAATGCCATTATAATCTCAATAGTTCATTAATTTAAACCTCATGTGTATGTGCCATGATTTTTCTGGGCATTAGCAACAATTATAGCAAGAAGATGAAAACAGGTAAGGAAAACAACTGTTTTTCAGAATGTTAGTGATAAATACTAATAAATTACAAATAAACTGCAGATATTATGCTTGAGCATTGAGCTCAGAGAGGCTCCTATGCAATCTGAAAGATGCAGAAGTCAAAATACCTAATCTTCTGAATGCCAATTTCACATTTGGCCTCGAAGTACTCAATCTTCTTCCTGTCGAGGTCCTTCTGCACTTTCAGTCGGAGATCCAGGACAAGGGTCTGTAGCAGCTGCATGCATTCAAGCAGTTCCTATCAGAAAAGATGAAAGCTGTAGGTAAAGCACTACTCCAGCTGGATTAGTTTTACCACAAGAGGCTATGTAATGAAATCTGTAATGGACTTGACCGTGTGACTTGTACAGAATTGGGTATGTGTCATTTACTCAAATTCACAGTCAGTCTAAACTTAAAATCAGAGCCCTTGTGCACAAATTAGTAGCCAGGTTTCCATCCCATCTAGCTCGATGAAATGAAAGTGAACGACTAAAATATTGTTTAAAAAAAATGCAAATACTACAAATGACTTTCCAGTTTTAAGTAAGGGAATGAAACTGCACTCGTAAACACACTTGTGATGAATACAAAGCAAGTTTACATACATTTTTTAATATGGAGCAACTTCTCTTTGCAGTTTTGTTTAATGTAATGTGTGTATGTCACATCATAGGAGCACATAGACAAAACACATTGTCATAACAAAAGGGCTCAGGGTCAGCTGGAAGCACCTCGTATCTGTTTAGCGTCTGAAATCACTATTATTTTTCTTCTTTGATAAGATAAACGTGTTTTAAGAAAAATGTTTTTATTATTTTCCTTAGTGCACTAGTACCTGTTGCCTTGTGCCATGTTTTGTAGCTACAGCTATGCATAACAAAATCACCGGATGAGTCAAAGACTATTCAGTTTGCATCTGAGTGATTTATTCTGCAAATACATTTCCATTCATCACATTTGTTTTTTAATAGGTAAAATTTGTTTACACCTCATGCATATATTTATGTGAAATTTGTAGTTATAATTTTTTTTATATTTGCTTTCCATCAAGTAATTTTTTATTTGATGAATCAAAACAGCCAGAAAAAAAATGCGGACGCAAACCCTCCTAGAGCTTGCCACAGGACACACTGCAGATTCATACTGGATTAAAATCACTCCACAATTATTACCGTCAGACTGTAAAACTACACACTGCAGATTCATACTGGATTAAACTCGCTCCACAATTATTACTGTCAGACTGTAAAACTACACACTGCAGATTCATACTGGATTAAAATCGCTCCACAATTATTACTGTCAGACTGTAAAACTACACACACTGCAGATTCATACTGGATCAAAATCACTCCATAATTATTACTGTCAGACTGCAAAAACTATATACTAAACTAAAATCCCAGAACTTAGTCAGTAATATTTTAATACACAGCACCTCTGCATGTAAAACTAATCCAGCTTGAAAAGAGCTTTCAATTGTGCATTCTCTCATTTTTGGTGCTTTATTATGCATGGAGGAAAGCAGCTCCTCTGCTGACTCACAGAAAGGTAGGAATGAGTTTGACGCTGCAATACGGTGCCATTCTCTCTGTTCCTCTCGGTTAAACTCTCCGCTCTGTGACGTTCACTCTCCAGGAGCGCTGGCAGCTTAGACAGCTTCACACATTTGAGCCCCTCACTTTCATTCTCTGAAACAGAGTCAACAGAAAGCAGAAAACAGTGTTTTCTTACGTGGACAATAAGAACAATACATATCAGCTGTCAAGTGGCAACATGGATCACAGAACAAAAGAAGTTTAAGCTGTTTACCCCACTCAGGTTGGTAGTAGGAAAGCAGGCTGAACAGCTTCTTCTTCAGGTGCTTTTGCAATTCTGTTGGCAACCTCTGTTTCATCTGCCACACATCCTGTATGGAGAGAATTAAACATTATTTAGGATTACAATTTTTAGATCACTTCAATACCAACATCACAAGTCAAGATTTCTCTCAAAATACATACACACTCCACTTACTATATAGGTGGTCAGGACCCCCATGGACACAGAGCAGGTACTATTTGGGTGGTGGATCATTCTCAGCACTGCAGTAACACTGACGTGGTGGTGGTGTGTTAGTGTGTGTTGCGCTGGTCTGAGTGGATCAGACACAGCAGTGCTGCTGGAGTTTTTAAACACCTCAGTGTCACTGCTGGACTGAGAATAGTCCACCAGCCAAAAACATCCAGCCAACAGCGTCCTGTGGGCAACGTCCTGTGACCACTGATGAAGATCGTCTCTGACTTTACATCTACAAAGTGGACTGACAAGGTAGGAGTGTCTAATAGAGTGGACAGTGAGTGGACACAGTGTTTAAAAACTCCAGAAGCACTGCTGTGTCTGATCCACTCAGACCAATGATCCACCACCCAAATAATACCTGCTCTGTGAGGGTCCATGGGGGTCCTGACCACTGAAGAACAGGGTAAAAGGGGGCTAACAAAGTATGCAGAGAAACAGATGGACTACAGTCTGTAACTGTAGAACTACAAAGTGCACCTATATAGTAAGTGGAGCTGATAAAATGGACAATGAGCGTAGAAACAAGGAGGTGGTCATAATGTTATACCTGATTGGTGTATATTATGCCAGTTCCCCTTAATGGCATATGAAGGAATAATAGACCAACAAAAATGGTCTGAAATGGCTTCATTATATGAATAATATCTCGTTAAATTAACACACGTTAAATGTAACTTTTTCTTCTCTCATACATTCATCATACCATGTTTTGTTAAATGCCTCAAATATTAAAAATCTAAACCCTTTTGTGCCTGTTTGAGCCTTTTTCAACACGTTTCTTTCCAAATTATTCATTTTCTTTCAATCTTACTCCGTCATTATTGTGCTGTTGTTTCAAAAGTGAATGGTCAGTGGTGGAGGCGGAAGCATACCTGCTTTGGAGGCATCTGATTCAGCACTTTCTCAGAAGAGAGCCCCAGAATCAGGGACTGATCCTGGTTGACGGTATCGCTGGGGTCTAACTGCTTGGCACACCGAGCCACTATCAAACACTGTTCCAGAGTATCATAGAACTGCAAGGAGAAGACCCAATCAAATCAGCTGAAGCAATAAAATTCATTGTGTATGTGTAATAATCATTTTATATACAGTACTGTAAGTAAGTCCAAGACCGATTCATTCATTTTTCAGTATCGGGGGGAAAAAGGCAGAAAACACATTCAACAGAAAACTGCACAACTAAATATAATATTACATTTTTCAGTATTTAATTTCCACTCTACAGATTCCATTCATTCAGGAGACTTGCTTTCATGCATTGTCATTTCTGTGCACATTAGCTTGCTGACTGCTAAACAACCTCATAAGTCAGAGGCTCCAGCTAAACTTGGAGGGAAAATGTATCAGGTCTGGGGCATTTCTGTTTACCGTAGGGTGCAATAGCAGCCACTTCCTAAAATGCCATTCATTTTTCTCACAGAGAGAGCTGGAGTTTCTATATGGGCATGATGTCAACAACAGAATTACCCATGATTTCAGAGGTCTATTGTTGCCACACTGCACTGATCATACCTTGTCATCTGCTGCTGAGACAGTGGAGTGATGCTGGCTGCAGCGATGCTCCTGGACCATCTCCTTCAGGAGCCTGTGGAGACTCTCCAAACGCAGCCAACCCAACTTCTGTGTCCGGAGCTCCTTCTCCGCCTGCACAAATGACATTTCAGTTTAATCTGCTCTGTTCTATGCATGTTTCACAATAAATCATGATTTCACGGCTATAAATAAACTTTTAGTGTCACTCATCACTAATTCACAACTTCCTGGCAATCGGTCTTAAGTTACAAAAGTAGGACTCGTTTCCTTTTTCTATGCATATTTGCCTACCAGGTGTTTATGTCCATCTAATATGTTACAAAGTGACATATTACTATTATTACCTTCTCCAGCTCTTTTCTTAAGTGCAAAGTGAGCCCGGTGTGATCCACATGCTGAGACAAAGTGGCCAGAAGCTTGCAGAACAGTGGATTCTGAGTCAAATCCTCCTCCGTCAGTGGACACAGGGGAAACGCAGCTAAAACTAAAGACAAAATATGTTAAGACAGATGCAAGAACTCCAGTTTTTAAGTTTATTGGTGCATATATTCGTTAAACTACCTTGTGAACCTACAAATACTACTTTGCTCTAAGAAATGTGAAGGTATACACCGATCAGGCATAACATTATGACCACCTCCTTGTTTCTATGCTCATTGTCCATTTTATCAGCTCCACTTACTATATAGGTGCACTTTGTAGTTCTACAGTTACAGATTGTAGTCCATCTGTTTCTCTGCATACTTTGTTAGCCCCCTTTTACCCTGTTCTTCAGTGCTCAGGACCCCCATGGACCCTCACAGAGCAGGTACTATTTGGGTGGTGGATCATTCTCAGCACTGCAGTAACACTGACGTGGTGGTGGTGTGTTAGTGTGTGTTGCGCTGGTCTGAGTGGATCAGACACAGCAGTGCTGCTGGAGTTTTTAAACACCTCAGTGTCACTGCTGGACTGAGAATAGTCCACCAACCAAAAATATCCAGCCAACAGCGTCCTGTGGGCAGCGTCCCGTGACCACTGATGAAGGACTAGAGGATGACCAACACAAACTGTGCAGCAGCAGATGAGCTCTCGCCTCTGACTTTACATCTACAAGGTGGACTGACAAGGTAGGAGTGTCTAATAGAGTGGACAGTGAGTGGACACAGTGTTTAAAAACTCCAGCAGCACTGCTGTGTCTGATCCACTCTACCAGCACAACACACACTAACACACCACCACCACATCTGTGTTACTGCAGTGCTGAGAATGATCCACCACCCAAATAGTACCTGCTCTGTGAGGGTCCATGGGGGTCCTGACCACTGAAGAACAGGCTAAAAAGGGGCTAACAAGTATGCAGAGAAACAGATGGACTACAGTCTGTAACTGTAGAACTACAAAGTGCACCTATACAGTAAGTGGAGCTGATAAAATGGACAATGAGTGTAGAAACAAGGAGGTGGTCATAATGTTATGCCTGATCTGTGTATACTTGTATGAGCAAATGATATGCAGTGAGAAGTCAGCGTTTGTATAAAGAGCCCATTTTAGTCTGTACATTTTTGTTTTTTCCTGCTCGGCTCTTTAGCTTATTTGAAAAGCCTACCTGAGGACAAAACAGAACAGTTTAACAGGAGAACACTAAAGTGTGCAGTACAGAAGAACTTCAGGAGCACAGCTAGGAAGCACTGGTTTATTAGAGATTCTTTGTTTGACCTACCTTGGTGATGTAAGCTGTCACCTTTGCCCACAGAGCTACAAACGGAGTCCGGACACTGTAACATCTCAACTGCTGAAACACAAGATAGCAAAAATACACATATGCAAATACATACACATTTAAATACAGACAGTCAGGTCCATAAATATTTGGATGTCAACAAAGTTGATATTGATACTGTTGATAAAATTGATATTCTGTCTACCATAGGTTACTGGGGTTAAAACTAAACAATGAACATGAGCTCAATTTGCAGACTTTCAGTTTTAATTTGAGGGCATTAGTAATTAGTCCTGTTTAACTGAATTTACAGAAGCGCAGTACGGCACATAAATCATTGTAGTTGTAATTTTTCGTAGTATTATTTCCAAATGTGGCCTGGGTTTGATTCCCCGGCCGGGCGACCGAGGTCCTTTCTGTGTGCAAGTTCTCCCCGTGTCAGCATGGGTTTCCTCCCACAGTCCAAAGACATGCAGTCAGGCCAATTGGACATGCTTAATTGCCCCTAGGTGTGAGTGTGGGTGTGACTGTATATGTCTGTCTGTCTGTCTGCCCTGCGATGGACTGGTGACCTGTCCAGGGTGTATCCTGCCTTCCACCCAATGATGGCTGGGATAGGTTCCAGCTCCCCCCATGACCCAGAAGGATAAGCGGCTTAGAAGATGTGCGTGTGTGTGTATACCCAAATGTGGCACTACTTTTTTTTATCTTTTTCAACTTATCAAACCTCAAATATCGTGACACGTAGCTTATCATGTATCACGAAAGCGTCTTCAAGCATTGCGATACTATTTATTATCGACCCCAACCCCAAATACCTCAGTGATATGAAGCTGAGGTCAGCTTTTTAATTCGTATCTTCCCGCTCCACCTTAAATGGTGCAGCGCCAGAATATAACCGCTGTACCATTTAAGGTGGAACGGGAAAATTCGAACAAGAAGCCGAATTAGGGAGTGATCGCGTTTCTAAATGTATACTGAAATAGTGATACATGAGTGTTGTTGAAACTTGAAAATACTCATATGAATGACAAAAAAGCAGCAACCTAAATGTTTTGCGTATATTTAACTACATTTCCGAAGACGAATACAGACCGTTAGCGACAGCTAGACCAGCTGCCAGCGCCGCTAAGCTAAGCTAACGTTAGCTACTACTAAAAAGAGCTGCTTCACACAGAAACTCAACTCTAACACTCAGTTTAGTCTGCAGGGTCCTTTTCTTAACCACTGGGACTCTTAAAGTAAGTGGAAAACGCGGTCGTTGTAAATAAACAGACTCTCTAACTTACGTCTGAGTTTGTTTCTCTCCGCTGTTTACAGGACTCTCCTGCTTTCGTGTTTACCGCCGCCCTACTGCGCATGCGCGCTTGCACCCCTCAGCAAAACGTCATGTCAAAATTAAATAAAAGTCTTTTTGTGTCTACGGAAAAAATGTGGACCCTCTTTTAATTTGTTTATCTGTGACTTCATTCAGTTTCTTCAAAGGTTATCTTTTATGAAGAAACCTAGCAAAAATTACTGTGTATGACAATGGCGAAATACATTCTAACCTAAATATGCTCCATTTTTCCCTCTTGCTCATTTTTCTGTCTTTTATATTTATCTGTTTTTGCATCGCCTTGCGAAAGTTCTTTGTTGTTGTGATACCTTTTTCATTTTTAAATGTGGTTTCTATTGACTAATGTCCCTTTTTTGCACTGCAATGTTTGTTGACTCAATTTTAAAAAACAAACAAACAAACAAAAACAAACAAACAAAAAAAAAACAGTGAAGTCTGTCTTACGGAACCCCTAAGGTGATATGGTGACTATTTTTAAATTACACATGGCCATGAACTACTACATTACTATGCTGAGGCCACAAATTTCTAGAAACGTAACTCAAGGCCTCAATAATTCATAATTTGTGGCATCAATATTTTAATTTGTGGCCACACCTTATTCAAAAATAATAATGTCAACTTAGGAGCTCCACAGAGTCCAACAGGGGAACACATTTTCTTTTTTTTTGTAAATATATAATTAGTCAGTTGGTGTAGAAACACACAAGGCATATATTGCCAACAGAGCATTGAAAGTCCACCATGGTGAACAGTAAAACAATGCATGAAGAGGGAGAAAAATAATAATAAATAAATAAATAGATAAATAAAATAGAAAGGCAGCTTAACGAGGGTCTTCAACAATCAACAAGAATTGGGTTCAGAGTTCAGAGAGTTGTACAACAAATGAAGACCCATCTTCTATGTATTTAGTTGGGGAATCACACTTGTGAGTCCATTGACACTTGTGCATAAAGTATTTGCACAACACAATCAAGGGAATGAGGGGTTGGTTGTCACACTTTTCACTCTGGCTCTCGTATTTCAGAAAAGGAATTAAGGGTGTCTTGAACAAAGTAGATAAAACATCGTGTAGTTTTTTCACTGGAATGATGCTTTATGTGGAACCTACACTCTTTAAAAAGGTGCCTCTTCAGGAGTTCAGTAAAGATTTGCATGATTAAAGGGTTCTTTGCATCAGATTGCAGATTGCAGAGTGCTGTAAATGGTTCTATATACAGTAGAACCTTTATGAAAAGGGTTCTATATAGCACTAAAAGGGTTCTGCTGCTGTTATTTTGTCAAGCCTGTAACAATAGAAGAATCCTTTTTGGTGCTATACAGAACCTTTTTCAAAAAAGTTATATCTAGAACCATATAAAACACGCTGTCCATCAATCTGAAGAACCATTTCACCATGCAAAGAACCATTTAAGCTTATGGTTCTGAGTAGAAACACTGCCTTTACTAAAGAACCCTTGAAGAACCATCTTTTTAAGTGTGTACAGTGAATTTATTTCTCATCAAAGAGCAAAAACTTTTAAGTACTATTTCACATGAACAGTAATTGAGAACTAATTGATGAAATGATTTGTTTTATTTAAAATAATTTAGTATCATTTATATTTTTAGAATAAAAAGAGACTTGTTCAAAGAAAGAATCCACAATTATACATAAAATACATGTTTAAAAGCAAAACGCCATCCTCTAAAACTGCCATATATGATAACTATCCCCATAATGAGCGTGACCACCAGCCCCACTACAGTACTTTGGTAAAGTTTATGCTAACAACCTTAATATTGGAGGAAAGAGCACCAACAAAATACTGGTGCTACACTCTTTGCTCTCATTCTAGTGACTCAGAAATTGACGAGTACTAGAAAATAGTGCTGTCATAACCAACCCATGTGACAACCAACCCCATGTTAACCTACTTCAGGAAAATGGCTGTTATGAAGCTCATGGCAAAACCCAACTTTGTGAAATATAGTAGTGAATGTCCTGCCAGTGGGTGAGCCTGATATTTAAATGTGTGTGTGTATATATATACATACATATATATATATATATATATATATATATATATATATATATATATATATATATATATATACATATCTTCTTAACAGTGGTGGTGATAGGAACCAGAGATCCCAAAGTCTACAATGCAAATGTAGTCATTTTATTTACTATCCAAAACAACCAGTAAACGTACACGTGTCTTCTGAGTTTATATTTGTAATGTTAATGATGGTAAAATAATAGTCAATCCAAAAAAATTAAGTTTTCTTTAAGATCTGTTTTGCTTTACAACATCCTTCATGTATCCCTCCATCATGAATGGATTAAAATAAACTGATTCAATTTTTTTTTAAGACCAAAACTTTGTCAAAGCTGCCATAAAACAATGCCTCAGACATCAGGCAGTGAATTCATAACCATTTCATGTAGTAACTTTCTGTGAGGGAGCTTTTAGGGGTGGACGTCTGGTTCCTATCACCACCACTGTGAACAATTCTGACACGGCAAATTTCTCTAGAATGACACATTTTACACCAAACCACTCTGAATGACTTTATTGACGTTAACCATTTGAACATGCAGAAATTTAGAAAAATCGATGGAGCTGAACTTAAACCTTTGATGGAAATGTCAGATATGCTGGCAGAGTGTAATGTAATATGCAGTGTAATTTCATTTAGTAACATGTTTACATAATAAACAGCCCTCATTTTCAGTTCATTTCAAATGAGCATCAAAATCATTACATAAAACAGTAACAAAAGTCTTGTTCTGAGTGTATGGTGGATATTGTCAGAACCTAAAGAGATGATTCGTCCTGTTGAACTGAATTTACTGTAATGCAGTATGTGATCATTGTAGTTGTAGTTTGGTGGGCTTGATGCGAAATGCAGATTTGTTCACAGTGGTGGTGACAGGAACCAGACGTCTGAAGAGTTTAATGCCCTTAAAACTCAACATCACAGAAAGTTATTAGATGAAATGGCTGCGAATACGTTGTCTAATGTCTGAGGCATTGTTTCATGGCAGTTTTGAGAAGGTAAAACATGTTTTTTAAAACCCATTCATACTGGAGTGACACATGCAGAGCATTATAAGGCAAAATACTCCCCCAAAAAACTTCTTTCCCCAGACTTTACCATCGTCAACATTACATATAAACACTCAGAAAACACATAAAGGTTCACTGGCGGTTTTGGATAGTAAATAAAATGTCTATATTTGTGTTGTAAACATGGCAACCACCACTGTAAAATAATCTGAGTCTGTAAGTTTCTCTACAATGAACCACTTCATGTCAAAGCACTCTGAATAACTTTGCTTGCAACCGCTGAATAATGCAGAAATGTTGAAAAACTGGTGTATTTCCCCTTTAAATGAAGTCAAGTCAGCTTTATTGCCAATACTACAATATGTACAGGACATACAGAGTATTGAAATTGCGTTGCTCTCAGACCCCATGGTGTAGCAATAACATTAAATAGAAAGTAAACAGGAAAAGTGTGAATTAAATAGACATTAAAAAAAAAAACTAAACACTAATCGTAAAAATAAACACTAATTGTAGAAAAATAGAACAATAAAAAAAATATATATATAGGAGGTCCTGAAATTAACACTAAAGTGACATAAGGCACACACAGATTAAGGTCTGTGGGTCTAAACAGGGCAAATATAAACAGTAGTGCAATTAGACTGAGCTTATGGAGCAGTTAAAGTGATGCCACTTTATATGATGCCAAAGAATATGCCATCCTAATATTGATTACTATCTGAATAATTCCATGGCAGTGACAATAACCTGTGAATTTAAGGTGAAGTGTGTTATGCTTGTGCATGCAATAATTTGAAATTACTCAGATAATAAAGGGGAATTCCACCAATTTGTCAAAATTTCCTTTGATGTAAACAGAAACATTTAGAGTGGTTTGACGTGAAACGGTTTTTATAGAGACACTTACTGACTGTGATTTCTTTACAGTGGTGGTGACAGGAACCAGGGGTCACAAAGTCTGCAACACACATATAGCCATTTTGCGTACTATCCCAAACCAGCAGTGTCTTCTGAGTTTTTGTATGTTGATACTGGTAGCTTCGTAATAAATCTGAAAAAATAAGCTTTCCTTTGGGACAATTTAACCTTTTTACATTATACATTTTATGCAGAAATTTAGAAAAATCGGTGGAGTTCCCCTTTAACTTCATTAACTTCAGTGACAGCGAGTGGGAGGGAGGTCTCGTATTCTGGCAGCAGGACGCATTACAGTGAACTGGGTGGTGTTTTGGTTATTATTTAGTTATTGTGCATATTTTATGCTTTGTATAAGTGTGTTTTGATATTGCGGAAAGGTTTAGATGCACATTGTGCAGCTGAGGTTAAACAAGTGAAGAAAAACACTGAATAAAACCACAGAAGAACACATTTCTTTGAAAAATAGGGGGGGGAAAGTGAAGTATACGGATCCGGATCCTGAATTGATGACGTGGTGCCATCGGCTCGCCGGGGACGGAGAGGATGGCCGACCAGAGCAGGCAAATTAAACTCGCAGCGGCAAAGAAAAAGGTATTTGGTGCACCTCTTTTATTTCCTACAAGCCTTTGTTTCGTCTTTTAACTGTCTGCCGCAAGGTCAGCTGTGAATTCGCGAACGGGCCGTGGCTTTTTCATACGCTGACACTGACACGTCCACGTCTACCGGTGTCTGCCTGACCGCCTGCCCGGCCGCGCGTCGCCTTTTCGCGGCTGTCGGTTCCACCTGACGCCGGGGCTTTAGCCTGGCCTTTAGGACACATTAGCTGATGACAGCGTTGACGTTAAGTCCGTTGAAAAATGTCAGCACGTCAGTGAAAATAGGGGGAATGACTGTTTTGCAGCCTAAACTGCGATGTGTGGTGAAGTGTCAACCTTAACCGGTGTGTTTGCTTGGTGGTCTAATTGAGCTACGTTAATTCGGCTACTTTAGCATACAAGCTAATTCAGCCAAAACACGAACAATTTGACATTTTTAGCTGAGCAGTTTTT